ATGCTTCCCACGAAGCAGGGTAGGGTTCGTGGTTCCAACAACAGTCCTGCTGTTTCAGTCAAATTCCCTGCTTTTTTTCCGTCCTTGTTCTAAATGCCGTTAGTTTTCCTCCAGGACTTGGGACGAGCTAAAACTGAGAGGAAATCAACCATGAATGTCAAGATAGCCAAATGAGTGGTCTGCTCATAATTCCTTGAGGCATCTCCTCTAATGCCTCACATAGAAGAAGAGTCCTGTTGTGGGGATGCTTAGGAGTTGCTGTAGTCTTGGAGTCCTGAGAGGAATGAAAAATAATCTTTTTATGGTTTCTTGCTAAAATACTCAAACTACTCTGGTTGGACTTAGCATTTGAAAAAACATTTTCTGGTATGTGACTCTTCTAGATATTCTGGCATATTCGCCTCCCCTCTGATCGAGGCAACAATAATTATCTTACAAGTTTTTGGCAGGATTCAAATTTGTTTCAAGTCACAGAGGATCATCGTTACCATTTTTATCTGCACGACTGTTGGCTTCAGTATAGTATCGCTCCCTTTGGGTATAGTTAAAACTGAAGAAAAATCTGAATATGAATCTTGTGCTGTCTTCTGAATCTCAAATGGGAGGTCTGCGAGACAGATCGGGGAAGGTAATTTCAGAACTGCTGATGCTTTTACTGAAAACAGTGCTTTCACTGGCACCTCAAAACCAACTGATTTTTGGTGCTGATGCTACTGTTACCCCGTGGTTTGTGGTCTTTGATCCTTAGCTTAAAAGCATCCTGGTGAAGTCTGAATTGCCCCATCCCTCCTGTAAACTTGGAAGAAAAAGGTCGTTTGCCTTCTCATTTGATTATTTTCCAGGCTGTAGAAAAGGCAGGTGTGCTTCCAAGCCCTTCCCTTCTCCTCCGCTCCCCAGCGTGTCAGGGATGAGCCCTCCCGCAGGAGCTGCGCCGTCGGGCGGTGGGAGACGCTGTGCCTGCTGCTTTTCCTCCCTAAATGGAGGAGCAGCCAGCGTTAGGGTCCCTTCACGCTGTTTCCAAGTCCCAGCCTTCCTCTGTTGTGGCGGAGCTCGCTGTCATTTAAACTTTCCCTGCTTTTACGCTCGCCTGGGAGCAAATGTCTGAGCTCTTCAAAGCTGCGGTCTGTCCAAGCTTATCTTTCAGTAGGCGAGACTGCTTCTTGGCACATGGCTTTTGCTCCCAGTTGCCTGTGAAACTTCTGTGGATTTAGGGATCTGCTTCCTCCACGACTGGTTGGCATGTCCTTGAATAGCCTCTGCTTAAAATTGAAATAAGCCAGCGACTTTTGACTCTCTTTTTTCCTTCCGCCGCTTGCATGGTGATGGAACACTGTGATACTATCCAGTCTCAACGATTACAGCCCTTTAGCAGGAAGAAAACTGAATGATATGTGAGCAGATTGCATCTCGGGCAACGACATGTGATCCAATATTAAACACGGGTTTGGCAAGTTATGGAATCATGGAAGAGCCCAGGTTGGAAGGCACCTCGAAAGATCATCTGGTCCAACCAGATGGTTGGTTATGTAGTGAAGGAGACAAGAATAGGAAGAGAGAAACCATTTCCTTTAATGAAACAGTGTTTTATTTCTGTATGTTCTCCTCAGGAACCTTCTAGCTTTCACGTAGCAAAGGGTAGTACTTGCTGGGAAAAAACACCTTAAATCTTTAGAGTTTGAAGGGGCTGGTTTGAATTTTTTTTTTATATTCATAGGAGTAACTGAAGATTCTTACCTTGGTAATTTTCCCATCAAATCTGAAGTTTGAGAGAACATAAAATTCGTACCTAGCATGAATGCCTCTAGTGATAGCTCTGTTCTAGCTTTTCTAGTAAACATTTACTGGTGATCCTAATTGTTACTGTGACTTGCAGCTTACAACCCCTGTGAATTTATATGAAATTTGAAGAACTGCCTTTTAGAGACTTGTGGTTAGTTTTACAGGTCCAGCTGTGCCTAACTTCATGTAGCTAGTCCAAGAGAGTCTGCTCTTAGGAAGCAGGTTTCTCAGGCTTCTGATTTTTTTTTTTTAATTTTTTTTTTCCCCTGTAACCTTTCTATAATCTTAATTTTTCAGCAGCCTTTGTGAAGTGTGGACACCCAGTGTGGCAGTCGTTTTCCCACTAGCCGAGGTTACTTCTCCATTGCTCCTGAATGCTGTCGTGTTTCCTGCCAAGCCTCTCGGCTGCAGCACGATAGCGGGAGCTCGTCCTCTTTGTTATCCACCATAATCCCAAAGAACTTGAGGTTTGATGTTTTCCTGGATGCAAGTCTGCCTGTATTAAGTGTGGATTATGTCCTTTGTTCCTGGGTGAGTGAATTGCGTTCAGCTGTATTAAAATGCGTGCCATTAATGGCCATTAAAAACCCAGTGAACTTGGCTTCCTGAGGGATTGAGGTGGTGCTTTGCAGTCCTGAGGGGTTCAGTCATTTTTGAGGTGAAACTGCCCTCACCCCAGCAACTATTCCTGATACAACCATACTGTTAACACTTCCCAAGCACTTTTTACTCCGTTACAGAGATGCTACTGTTTCTCTCTGTGGTTAATTCTTTAATCGATGCTTTGTGGCATGGAGTCCATTGCTCTGCATAGGCTAGGTAAATTATCAGTTACTTTAGCAACCACATTTTTCATATTGCAAATGTAAAGTTTGATTCAGCTTTTAAGTTTAATTAAAGTTGAGTTTCTCTATTTTACTCACATGCCCCATCAGTTTTTCTATAGCTTTGCATAGAATGGATGTCCCCTGTTCCCCTCTGTCCTGTTGGACCAAATGTTTATCCACAGCTTCTGTTGTTGGATTTGAATTTGCCTTGGCAGGGAAATTACTGCTTTCTTGGGGCACCTATTTTTGTATTGGATGCCGATACCCTCTGGGCATTAAAGTTTCAGTCTTTTAGCTTCAAGCAACAGTGATGTTCCTGCAGATCCAAACTGGCAGACATGGGTAGCCTAAACACTAGTGTTTATTAGAGCAGAGCAAGGCTTGAGGGTAACTGTGCCAAGTCTTGGCTCATTAAACCGGCAGGAAGATGCAAGAAGGCTGCTTTTAAAAGATAAGGGCAAGAATTGGCACAGAGTAGGCGGGGGTGAGAGAGCAGCAGTGGGTAGGCCATGTGGTAGGTGTCTTCTATCTTTCCATAGATAATTTGAAGGCAAGAGCAAACTCATTGAGACAAATGAGCTGTCATACTAGCAGGAGTAATAGCAAGTTGGAGTAACAGAGTGCTGCACTTGTCACTGCTACCGTTTAATTGGCACTGGTCTGAAATACCAGGGTTGGGAGATAGGATCAACTCTCTGCTTTTCTAGAGTTCTAACTAGGTATTAATTCCTTGATTTTTAAGAATTTTGGCAAAGATTTGTGTAGGAAAAGAAGTAGTTTCCTCATCTTTTATCATGATGGGGAAGCTACTAGGAATTAGTGTAGCCTTTGGCTCTTCTATCCAGGGGAGCTCCCTTCCAAAGTTTCACCAACATTGGTATTCCAAAAATTTCAACTGTTTTAACTTGAACGTGATTACCTTTTGTCTCTGTTTGCAGAAGACTTAGCATATTTGGACGACTCAGATCTGGGCTGGGGTGTTTAAGGTTCATGTGATAACTTGATGTGGAAAAATACTTCAGATGAGAATGAGCAAATTTGCTTCTTCCTGTTTATCGCCTAAAAAACGTGATCCTGTAAGAGCAGAGGCAAGAGATGCTTGTCTTGGTGTTGCCATCATTAATGATGGTTTCTATAGAATAGAATTAATAGATTAGATTAGTAGAATCTGAGCCATTTGAAGTCATTTAACAGATTTAGTCTAATTGGTAGTCTTGCTAATAATCTGAATTATTATAAATAGCTAATTCATTGCAGTACAGACAAAAGAACTTCACTCATCAGACTGAAGCAGGATCTTTGAGTGGTTTCATCTAGGCTGCATCTGTGCACATTGTGGCTGAGCGTGCTACCTCTGCTGCGGGGTTTGGACTGGAAAGAGTAGGAGCTGTATTCTTTGGGAAGCTATTGAAGTTGTTCAAACCAGGACCTTACGGATGCCGAGAAAAGACATGGCAGTGCAAAGGCGTGGGTCAGCATGCAGTACATCATCCCCTTTTGCAGTTACCAAACAGTCAATGTGTACTTAACAGCAATCGATTACTTACTGTTGAGGAGGAACGTTTGGTTCCCAGGAACCATAGAGAAGACTGGTAGAATCATAGAATGGTTTAGGTTGGAAGAGACCTCAAAGATCATCTAGTTCCAACCCCCCTGCCAAGGGCAGGGACACCCTCCACTACACCAGGTTGCTCAAAGCCTCATCCAACCTGGCCTTGAACATTTCTAGGGATGTGGCAGCCTGTTCCACTGCCTCACCACCCTCTGAGTGAAAAATTTCTTCCTTATATCCAATCTAAATCTCCCCTCTTTCAGTTTAAAGCCATTGCCCCTTGTCCTATCACTACACACCCTTGTAAAAAGTCCCTCCCCAGCTTTCCTGTAGGCCCCCTTCCAGAGACTGCTATCAGATCACCCCGGAGCCTTCCCTTCTCCAGGCTGAACAGCCCCAACTCTCTCAGCCTGTCTTCATAGCAGAGGTGTTTCAGCCTCGGATCATCTTCCTGGCCCTCCTCTGGACCTGCTCCAACAGCTTCATGTCCTTCTTGTGCTGGGACTCCAGAGGTGAACACAGTATTCCAGGTGGGGTTTCACAAGAGCAGTGGTACCATTGGTGCCATTAATTGGTACTTCTGTGACTATTGCAGGTTACTTAATGTGCTGCAAGACCATGGTCTGCTCTCTGTGATACCAACCTGTCATGTACTTCTGCCTATGAAAGAAGCCTTTGCTGAAGCTGATACCAAATTACCTGCCGGCATGGTTTTGAAGCTGTTTGATTTGTCGTGCTGTGGTCTGTAGCTTGAAAACTCGCAGATAAAAATCTCAGGATGGCTTGAATGAAAGAGGCGAAGATTTTCTGTGATTAAGTGGATGCTTTTGTTTCTATTTCAGGAAAACCCCACAGCATTGGCAGCTCCGAACGGATTCAGCTCTCAGGAATGTACAATGTTCGAAAAGGGAAAATACATTTGCCAGTCAACAGATGGACAAGACGCCAAGCTATCCTTTGTGGAACATGCCTAATTGTCTCATCAGTAAAAGAAAGCCAGACTGGAAAGATGCATGTCCTCCCTTTAATCGGTGGAAAAGTAAGATATTTTATTTTATGTGTTTGCTTGCTTAACCCCTATCTCTTTACGTAGAGAAAATTGCATTTAATTATGATGATTCCTAGCCCCCCAAAAGCTCGTTTCTGTAAATGAGGTTATCAAAGAATATAAATTACTTTTGATTACGGTCAGATCATACTTAACAATTTATGATGTTTGGATTAAAATGCTAAAGAAAAGTGAGGGAAACACGTTCATTTTCCTTTTCCCATGTGCAGTGTTAAATGTTTTATGGGTGCAATAATATACAGCCAAAGGATACGCGCACCTGTATCATGTATGATCTGTACCATGCTTCTTCATCCAGTTTTATCCATACTGGGTTACGGTAAGATTTGAAAACTAACCAATAAGGGCATGGGCTTATTTTCAACATAGGGGGTTTTTTGAGTGCTCAGCATTGTATGAGTAGTGTTGTAAAGTAAGGTAACAGCAACAAACATTTTTACTTGCGAAAAGCTGAAACTGGACATTTTCCTTGATTTATTACCTCTGAAATGCAAGAGGTCCAGTCTGAACACAAGGAAATGTGTTTTGTTTTTTTTTTCATTTCACTGTGAGAGGGAATGACCACGCACTGGCACAGATTGCCCAAACAAGTTGTGGAGTCTTCCTCCTTGGAGATATTCAGAAGCCATTTGGACAGAGTCCTGGTCAAACAGCTGTAGGTGGCCCTGCTTGAGTAGGAGAGTTGGACCAGATGATCTCCAGAGGTCCCTTCCCACCTCAACCATTCTGTGATTTTTGTGAAACTTTAGTGAAGACACTAAGATTACAACATTACTATTTTGGCCTAAACAGTGTTTCAGAACGCTGTTGTTGGCTTGATTAGCCTGGATAATGGGAAGGAGTCATTAGCTTGAGGATGATTTACACCTGAAATAATGCTCTTTTACCTTGCATATTGATAAGTTTCGTTAAGAGTCATCGGGAGAGGAAACAAGCTTCACAATGTTTTACATGCAGCCTAAAGTTGTTTCATTAATATTCTGTACTAGCAATGTGGAAAGTAGTCCTGTCTTCTAGGAGCTGTTTTTCCTATCTCCTTTCTTGATTCTTCAACTTTTCCGTGGAGGTGCTGGAGTAGAGACATTTTCCTTTTTCAGCAGCAGTGGGTGAACTCTGACAGTGAATTGTATTCCTGGCTGTATGTAGTACACTCGAGAGGACAGGATTCAGGTCCCATTGGCCTTCTCTTTGAGATTAAAAAGATTATTTTTTTTTTTAAGTTCAAGAAGGAAAGAGATTGTATATCTTTTTTTTTTTTTTAAATTACTTACATGGAATTTCTAATTTTTTGCACAGAAATGCCTTGTGTAACATCAAACATGCCAACTATGTTAGGCAGAAAGTTGACAACAAATTTCAGAAGAACAGGAGAACCAAGCTGAGAAAAATGTACTGAGGGCTTCTGCTGACAAAGCTTGGGAGGAGGATGCTTGGCACAGAACTAAATGTTTTTTTAAATTATTGCTCAAAAAAATATTCTTCCTCAGCCCCATAAATACTGTGCACTTCCTGGTTTGCAAAGGCTTTCCAGAATGCAGTGCTGAGACATTGAGACCAGAAGTTGTGTGGGACTTCTCGTGTATGGTAGCAGAATGATGTATTCTGGGTGTTTTTTAGCAAGTTGAGAAATGCCAAAGAATTTAATTGGGCTGTAAGAGAAGCATTTTGCTAATCCTGTTTTTAATAACCAGGAATTTAAATTGGGCTTCTTTAGGTTGTATAAAGACAGACTTAAACGTATTTCACTGGGAAATCTTTTACGGTGCTCAGTCTCTCTTAAAATGTTGACGTTCTTGGTGTTTTTCTCCTTTGGTTCCTTCGTCCTTCTGTTCTCATTCCTTGCTTGTGTAGATTTCATGAATTTTTGACAGCCAGGATCCAGCTTGAGTGCTTGAGAGGCTTAGTCCAACTCTACTTGAAGAGCTCCTCTTGGGTGCACTTTGACTTTGCCCTGGGGAGTTCTGCAAAGAGACTTTTGATTCTTGTTCACTAACAATTCTGTATCTCTGCTGTAGGTGGAAGAAGTGAAAAAGCACCAGCACTGTTTAGCATTTAGCTCCTCTGGACCTCAAAGCCAGACCTACTACATTTGTTTTGATAACTTCACTGAATATTTGCGATGGCTTCGACAAGCATCAAAGGTGAGAATAGTGCTAGTTTCTGCCTAAATGGGATGTTCGTAGTGTTTCCCCAGTTCTGTCTTCTCCGTGCACCAATATAGTCCCTCTTCTGGGTTCATTGTCATGGACTGCTGCTGCTGATAGCATTACACGAGAAACCTTGGTTTGAGATGTCTTGGTAGCAAGCAATAGGGAAGTGAATTTTTCCGCTGAGGCTTCTTTCTACCACGATCGTGTGAGCAAAGTGCTGTGCTGGACTTTCTCCCTTTTCTCATCTTGATCCATCTGGATGTATGGAGTGAGATCATTAGGACAAACAAGATGACAAAAGTAACCATCAAAATTTCGGTTTAAAAAGCTTCATTTCAGTGTTAATAAGACCTAAAATAGCATCAGATTTTTTTAATTCATTCCTTACACAGAGCCTAAAGATTAAATTGCTAGCATTAAGTATTCTTTTTGCATGTGGAAATGTTGCTGAAACTTTCTTTATTTTATTTTATTTTATTTTATTTTTTTAATACGCAATCATTTTATGTCAGTTAAAATGCTAACTAAAGCCTTCGTATACCAGATTTTGTACTGTGCTTAGAGCACAATTTATTATGGCAATATAGGTCCTGCATGATTTTGTTTGACTCTTCAGTTCCACTTTGTGTTGTTGAAAGGTTGTTTTTACAGTTACCTATTTTACCTCTTAATCCTCACTGCTTTTTTGATAAATCCTCTCTGATTTTTTGTTTTTAACAAGCAATTTTTTTTTCTGTGCTGCTAACGCTCTCTCTTTTTGGTTTTCTCGTTGAGCCTAAACCATCCATTTGGTTCATACTTGATAGCGCTGCCTGTTCATGCTCTTTACTATGTTAAAGCAACTTGGTTTTATGTAGTACTACTTAGAGATATTTATGGCACACTAGATCTGTTCTGTCTTTTTAGATTGCAATAATGTATTATCCAGCCTATTGCCAGTGATACAGCCTGGGTTGTGGGTTTTTTTTAAGAGGTTTGATTATTATGTCAAACTTACTTTGAGCAGTAACTATTGCACCTCCCAACACATGCATCATTTAAAATGTCCTTTAGTTTTTTTTTCTAGTAAGTTTTAAAATTCTCTTTAAAGACGCTGTTCTGGCATCCCAGCTCAGGTCTGTTAAGCCTCAAGGTAAAAATCCCCAAGGTGTGTTTTATGAGACGGTGAGGCATGGTCTGTCAGGTTTTTGAGTTCTTGCCGCTTTGTGGCTCTCTCTGGGAGAGTAGTGCCCTTTCATCTCCAGAGGCTTTGACATCAGATAAATGAAAAGCAAATCTAATGAGTGAGAAAAACACTGGAAAACAATGAACTTCAGAAGTAGAGATAAATGGCCAGAAAGCCGCTCTGAATTACTGGCAGTGTAAGCTTGTTCTGTGCCATGCTGTGCTTCTCTCCCTCTCTGGTTCACCCAAATGACTAACAGCGTTGGGACGATAGCCAGCATGAGAACATACCCCCATGCACTCATGATATCCTCCCATTCTCCTTATGTAAGAGTAGAAAGAAAATACATAGTTTGAAGTGTCTTTTCAGGCTGTCAGAACCAAAGAAACTTGCTACGCTCTTCTTTTTGTTGGTAAAACATGCTTTGAAGAAGAAATGATGCTTTGTTTTCCCCAACTCTTCACCCCCCAGCCCCAAAAACTGAGATTTGGTGTTCTGGATTCATGGATTTTGAAACAGTACTTTGCCACTTCGAGTTGCTTTTTTTCATGTTTGGGTTTTCTATCCTTGGACTGAAAAACAGAGGCAAGCATGATTGTGTGCAAGGCAGTTGTGTGGGAAGTACTGTGCAGTAACACAGTTTCTGAAGAACAGAAACAGAGAAACTAGGAATGCTGCAAAAGTACTTCAGACTTCCTCCAGCTGACTTCCTGTCCAAGAGCTTCATTGTAAGGTGCATCGTCCCTGATTTACACGAAAAAATAAATGAGGAAAAGTTTCATCTTCAGCTCTGTAGTTCAGGCCAGCTAGCATTCTCACGCAGAAAAACCCCAGCAGTTATCTAAGGTGCTCTGCCAGACGTGTTTGGAAGCTACTCAAGTTCAGAGAAGCTGAAATATTCGTGCTAACCAGGAAAATACCGTGTGAAGTATTTTATGTCTAAAGGCCAGCAGATTTAGGAAGCGAGATATTATGGCTGTCTGACTTAGAGCTTCTTTCAGCCCAGAAATCCAACAGTACCCTGGGCTGCATCCAAAGCAGCGTGGGCAGCAGGTCGAGGGAGGGGATTCTGCCCCTCTGCTCTGCTCTCCTGAGACCCCACCTGGAACACTGTGTTCAGCTCTGGGGTCCCAGCACAAGAAGGACATGGAGCTGCTGGAGCGGGTCCAGAGGAGGCCACGAAGATGATCCGAGGGCTGGAGCACCTCTGCTATGGAGACAGGCTGAGAGAGTTGGCACTGTTCAGCCTGGAGAAGGGAAGGCTCCGGGGTGATCTTATTGCAGCCTTCCAGTACCTAAAGGGGGCCTACAGGAAAGCTGGAGAGGGACTTCTGACAAGGGTGTGTAGTGATAGGACAAGGGACAATGGCTTTAAACTGAAAGAGGGCAGATTTAGATTAGATCTAAGGCAGAAATGTTTCACTCAGAGGGTAGTGAGGCACTGGCACAGGTTGCCCAGAGAAGCTGTGGTTGCCCCATGCCTGGCAGTGTTCAAGGCCAGGTTGGATGAGGCTTTGGGCAACCTGGTGTAGTGGAGAGTGTCCCTGCCCATGGCAGGGGGGTTGGAACTAGATGATCTTTGAGGTCCCTTCCAACCCAAACCATTCTATGATTCTAGTTGCTTGTTATGGGTTAGGTTGCGTGATGCTAACAAATTCTTCGTTACTCACAGTGGTGTACATAGTACTTGCACTTGTTTGAATTATTATGAATAATATTTCAGACTGTATTTTAAATATAGATGTTACTTAATGGCATTTGTTTTGAAACTGACATTCGTGCTAACTTATGTTCAGTGGTAGTTTTTCTGCAGTCCTTCATGCTTGTGATGCATGCCGCTGAAAACTGAGGCTTCTCGTACTTCTAAATGTAATGAAAGCTTTAATTATAAATTTTATTGCAGAAGGACATCCCTGCTAAAATATTTCATGAAGATTACTCAATTCAGTTTTTAACTATGAAAAAATTTTCATATCTGTCTTCTCTATACTTCAAAAGAGCTAGATGATGATCTTATTTTGACTTCTAAATAACAAGCTTAATCTTGAAAGGAGACTTTGCAAAGAATGCTTGCTCTGCAGTCGTTCTCCCCACAGAATATTGGCAATGTTGGCTTTTTAGTGGTGTTCCGGAATGAGGCAAATCCTAACACATCACTCCTGCAATAAATATTTGTGTGCTAGAGGAGGTTTGAATTCCAGTTTGCAGAGAGTTGGGCTCAATTTAATTAAAAATGAGCATTGCTCCTGCATAATCTGATTCATTTCAAAGGTGAAATCTGTCCGAGCCAAGATAGCTCTCATGCTCTGCCCCAGTAGATTTTTGGAAGGGGTTTGTGAGTAGGTCTAAGGATTGCTTTTCCTGTATGCTTACGTCCTGAGGTGAACAGAACTCCTGTTTTCAGGACGGACTGGAATTATTGCACAAATACTGACCTAAATATCGAACTTGGTGACATACTTACTCCAAATAGGTCACTTTTAGATATGCTGATTTAGCCTCAAACAGAATATTTTTAAAAGCTGGAAATGTGGTTTGTTCGTTAATATTGATAGTTCTATACCACAGTGCATTTCTTTCCTTTTACTTTCCAAATACTGGGGCCCTAATTAAGGAAGCTCAGAAGGAAAACAGCAACAACAACAAGACTGGTCCTTTGTGATCTAATATGTTCGTTCTCTTGCCAAATGTTGAAAAATAGGCTTATGCAACTGGGAGGGGGAGTGGTGGGGGAAGAAAGGGACATCTTTGTGGCTTTAAAGAATTTTGTCCGCCTAAAGTTGGCATGATGGTTCTGGAACCCGCACAATTACTTGGAGAGAAATTCTGGTGTGCCACTCTTTACTGCTTGAATGTCAAATGCAGAAGGACAGGTGAAGAATGTGCAGCTAGCAGTGAAGAGGACATGATGAGGGCTTTCCTCATTTGCCACTTCCAACATGTAAAAAGCTACACCCTTAATGTAGCAGAAGAGAGGGAGGTTTTATGTATAAGGTGTTACTGAGCGGTGGAACTTGCTGTCGTGAAGCTTCTATTTGGGGTGCGGTGAGGAGCTCCTGCTGTTTGGCACTTGTAACAGCTAAACTTAAACGTTTTTCAGCATGCAAAGTGGCTGTGGAAGTGGTGACTGCTGCACAGCTCATGACATGGATGGTTTGGCTGGGGTAAAAAAGGTTATCAGTCCTCTGTGTTCCCAGGCACACAATTAAAACGGGATGTCAACGTCTGCCTCAGAAGCGGAGTATTGCAGAGCTTAAGCAGGGAAGTGTTACAGAATTTTATCTGCTTGGAAAGGGCGTGCATCGCTGGGCATGCCGAGACGGGTTACCTGGCCCCGCAGAACTTCTCGCCTCGTGCTTTAGACGAGCAGGAGGTGTGTCAACAGCTTCATGCAACAATCGTTCCCTGCTGTAGTGCTCCGTTCAGCCGGGCAGGTAAAGGAAGAGAGGTGAGAGACAAGGGCTATAAATAATGCACGAGTGCCTGTGCGTGGCCACGCTGTACATGGAGATCATGGAATAGGTCGACGTGACCACGCTGTATGTGAAGATCATGAAATAGGTTGACGCCCTCTTGGCTTTAGAAGAGCAGGAGGTGTGTCGACAGCTTCATGCAACAATCATTCCCTGCTGTAGTGCTCCGTTCAGCCGGGCAGGTAAAGGAAGAGAGGTGAGAGACAAGGGCTATAAATAATGCACGAGTGCCTGTGCGTGGCCACGCTGTACATGGAGATCATGGAATAGGTCGACGTGACCACGCTGTATGTGAAGATCATGAAATAGGTTGACGTGGCCATGCTGTACGTGGGGATCATGGAGTAGGTCGA